ACCCATGACCCAGCTACCTCCTGTAGATCCAACCTCTGAACACCATTTTCAGGGATTTGGTGATTATCTACCACCTGAAATTTAGTCATAGTAATAGGGGCATAAATACAAGGATTCTTCCTGGAGCCTAAAAGATCCAGGCACATTGCTTCCCAAGACCCTGAGGTGTGTGGAAGATTCATAGAAGACATGGGATTGGGAAACAGCTTCCTGATTGATTGATTGATTGATTGTGGGTTTTTGGGACAGGCCTTGAACTGTTATATAGCTGAGGCTGGCTTTGAACTGTGTGCCCTTCTGCACACTGTCCCCACCCAACGTCCGCAGTTGTAGCTGTGGCATGGGAGGCTTTTGTGCAGTGATCACCAGTTGGTTTGTGTCTTGTGCTGCTTGGTGAAGAATGCACAGTGGATTTCAGTGGGGGCAGGCAGGGGAGGAGGATGCATAGGGCTGAGCTGAAGTAGCCAGGGCTCGGCTCAGATCGGAGTGTGGAGAGGAGCAGGTCATTTCTGGAGAATGAGCTGAGCCAGCCAGGGTGGGGGCTGTGATGGAGTGACTGGCTGGTCAGAGTCAAGGGCAAGGGAGAGAACTCAAGACCTTGGCCTGGGCTTCTCCTAACTCTCCCCTTGCCCAACCCTAGAGCTGGGGGACCTTCCTCTGGTCCGCCTGGATTTCTCCTGTAACCGTGTCTCCCGCATCCCGGTCTCCTTCTGCCGCCTCAGGCACCTGCAGGTCATTCTGCTGGATAGCAACCCCCTCCAGAGTCCACCTGCCCAGGTAAAGTGCAGCCTGGGTGAACTTGAGGACAGTGATGTTGTTAGCGTAGGAGGGTCCAGTAAGGCCCGGGGAGCCACCTCATTCTTATGCAGGTGCCCCTCACACAGATCTGTCTGAAGGGGAAGCTTCACATCTTCAAGTACTTAACGATGGAGGCTGGACGGCGAGGAGCTGCCCTTGGGGACCTGGTCCCTTCCCGTCCCCCAAGTTTTAGTCCTTGGTAAGGCCCTTGATAAGGGGAAGGAATCCCCTTCTTGGGACCAGAGACCACTCCTGGATTCTAGTGGGAGGGTAGGGGTGCTGCCAGCCTGGGGCTGATGAGGTCTCCCTGCCGCTCCAGCCCTGCAGAAGACTTATTTCCGGGACGTCGATATGATGGTGGCCTGGACTCAGGCTTCCATAGCGTTGATAGCGGCAGTAAGAGGTGGTCAGGAAATGAGGTAAGGACCTCCTTTGTAAGGACATTTGGGAATGTCATCACTGGGAGAGTCTTAGGACTGGGGACCCTGTACCTAATACCTTTTAAGAGATACCTTCCAGTAAGAGGTCATGGCTGGAACTCCTCCTCCCTACTATCCCCAAAAGGCTGGCTCTCTACCTGACCCCAGTCTGAGACTCTGCAGGCCTGAACCCATGTGGTCCTCAGCCCTGCAGAGCCCATGTCCCATCTCTGCCTCTCTGCCTTCAAGTCCACAGATGATTTCTCAGAACTGTCATTCCGGATCTCAGAGCTGGCCCGGGAACCCCGGGGGCCTAGACACCAGAGGGAAGATGGCTCTGGTGGGCAAGGGAGTCTGCCCAGGAGGGTGAGGGGTGAGTGTGGGCCTGGAAGCCCCCTCCTGCTTGCTCACTGACGTGCCCTTGCCTTGCAGGCGATGGAGACATGGAGCAGATTGACTTTATCGACAGCCATGTTCCCGGGGAGGATGAAGAGCGAAGTGCAGCTGAGGTGAGGACCCAGTTACGTCCCTTGTCCAGGGGAAGGGCACTGAATAAGGAAGTCACTGCAAACTGGGGCACCAGCCTTCTTCAGCCTCTGCTGGTCTCTCTTCAGGAGCAGCTGCCTTCTGAATTAAGCCCCGTAGCAGGAGATGTGGAGAGGACGTGGAGCAGCAGGTATTCCAACCCCCAAGCTCACATGTCTGCTCCATACTCAACAGCCCGGGGACCTCCCCTTCACCTGACAAAGGTCTCTCTTGCCCTGTCTTCTGCCAGGCGGGAGGAACCTGCAGGGGAGGAGAGGCGGCGTCCAGACACTTTGCAGTTGTGGCAGGAGCGGGAGCGGCGGCAGCAGCAGCAACAGAGTGGGGGATGGGGATCCCCCAGGAGGGACAGGTGAGGGCCTGGGGCTGCTGCACAGCAGGCAGATGCAAACTTCTCTGGGCTCTGCTCTTCTGAATGTGTGGCCTGACTGCAGAGCTCACACCTGTCTGCTTCTTCCAGTGTCCTGAAGCGGGGGATCAGAGCCGCGAGTGCTTCGGCCTCATCCACGCAGGCCACCTCCAAGTAGGTGTCCTCCCGAGATCCATTTCCCTACGCCTTCCTCATGGCCTTCTCTGAGCCCCTTCTTTTCCCTCAGTGGCCCACCGAAGTCCAGTGCTACCCAGCTGGGAGTTTCAGGGGGGCAGGGAGTTCCCACACCATCCCCCATCTCCCAGGACTCCATTCCATCATCTGGACCAGGTAGGACAGTGTTCTAGATGGTGGCCTGGGGGTGCTTGGGACATAGAGGCCTGAAGGAAGAGTGGGTCACTGAGGGAATGTCTCTCTTGCCTGTCCCTGGCTTTCCCACTCAGTGACAGCTCCTGTTCCCAGGCCACTGGGCTCCATTCAGAGACCAAACAGCTTCCTCTTCCGTTCATCGTCTCAGAGTGGCTCGGGTGAGTCTTTGTCCTTCTGGCACGAACCTCAGGACCCCTGTCTCTTGGGACTTGTGTCTCTCGGGGTATTGTCCCTTTTCATGGAGAATCTACAGGCAGGAGGTGGTATTGATACAAGACTGTTGAAAGCTGGCTCCAAAGTTTATCCGTGAAGCAAAACTATCCCTGTCCTCCTTTTCATCCTAGGCCCTTCCTCTCCGGAGTCTAGTTTGAGATCTCGGCCATTTTCTCAGATTATAGACGAGAAGGAACTGATTTCCCAACTTCGCCAGGTGAGTGGAGTGAGATCTGTATAGGCAGAGGCCTGACCCAGCCTGGCACCTCCTTCCCCTTTCTTTCCTCAGGACCCTTTCTTGACCTAGAACTGTCATCAAGGAGAGGGGAAGGGATGGAGTGAGCTCCCTGCTGACCCTGCCTGCTCCTCCTATCTCTGCCTCCAGGTCCTTGAGTCACGGCTGCAGCAGCCCCTGCCTGAGGACCTGGCAGAGGCTCTAGCCAATGGCGTCATCCTCTGCCAGCTGGCCAACCAGCTGCGGCCTCGCTCTGTACCGTTCATTCATGTGCCCTCACCTGCTGTGGTCAGTGGGAGCCGGGAGGAGGAAGAGGGGATGGGACAGGTGTGTGACTGCCTGTGCAAACTCTCTTCCTCCTCCTCCACCTCCAGCCAAAGCTCAGTGCCCTCAAGTCTCGGAAGAACGTGGAGAGTTTCTTAGAAGCCTGTCGAAAAATGGGTGTGCCTGAGGTATGGGGCCTGCTCTTTGCTCTGGGAGATGTTGGTGTCTGGGGCTCAGCTGAACAACGTGCAGGAGGGGCGGAGCTCCATCCACAGGGGTTTCTAATTCTACAGAGAGCATGTATCCTGGGCCCACCCCTCACAGCTCCTGCCCTGCTCTCCTGCCTCCCTGTCCTGCATGTCTGCATGTTGGTACCGCTCTGGCTGTGGTCCTGGTTTGTGAGGGAAGGGTGGGAAGGTCTGTGGCTTGATGCTGCTAACATCTGTGATTTGTCCTTGTCCACCTGCCCTCCCCTCCCAGGCTGACCTGTGCTCGCCCTCGGATCTCCTCCAGGGCACCGCCCAGGGACTGCGGACCATACTGGAGGCTGTGATCCTGGTGGGGGGCAAGGCCCCCCTCCCAGTCCAGCCCTCCTCTGGTCTGGGTGGCTTCCTCCTCTTCTACGTGGTCTCCATGCTGCTGCTCTATGTCGTCTACGCTCGGCTCCTGGGCTCCTAGGACCGACGTTGCCCCTTCCTTCCCGCCTTCTATTTATAAGTCCTGTTCAACCGTGTTCCCACCGGTGGTGCCTTCAGCCCTACCAAAGACACTAGTGACCCCACAAACACTGACCTCAGAAGCCCCACTCTATGCCCACAGCAGCCCCCTCCTCCACTAGTGCTGAGGGTGCCTTCCTGTCCTCCCTTAGCCCTCCGTCCCCCAGAGGGATGACAGACCTTGGCTGTTTCCCTTCTCTCCTCCCTCCCCCATTGGCTGCTATGGGAGAGCTAACTTATCTCTATTTTGTAGAGAGAATTCTATATTTGTAGGGGATGTGGGCCCATTATGGGCCTTGGCTCTGTGTATAAACTGTATAGACCGTCTCTTCCGTGTGTGCTTATGTGAGCTCCTGCTGCAGCCAGGCCTTGTCCTGCCTGGGCTCCGTGTATGTCATTCTGCCTGTACAGCATTTCCCTTTGGAAATGACAGACCCCTCCTGCCCCTGAGCCTTCTGTGTTGCTTCCATGTGTCATTTGCCTCCAGGCATGGGGCAGTGTCTACCAGGAGCGCCCCCACCCCCACCCCAACCCTAACCCTGCCAACCTTGCTTGGGGAATGCCAGAGGAAAACTTAACCTGGGCCCCTCCCCCCAGGAGTCCCTGTGCCAGCCCCACCACATCCTGGAAGAGGAGGGGGCCCCTGGAAGGGGCCTCCCTCAGATCGCTGCTGTCCTTCACGCCCTTCTGGAGCAGTCGTAGGGGTAGAGGTTGGGGCTTTTGGCCCCAACACCCACTGGACCTGACCTGGGAACAGATGACACCTGGGCCCTGCCTATTAACAAGGACTTGGTGACCACGGCCCTGTGTGTAGCACTGGGCTTGCGTATCCCCTGCCCTTGGACTGCTTCGAGTGCAGCCCCTGGTCAGGGTGAAGAGTGTTGTGTCTAACACAATAAAGAAAAGCCCAAAGGCCTGTAGGCTGGCCCTCAGGTGTGTGCCTGTCTGTGGGTGTGCGCGCTTCTTGGGGATCTGGGTCCTCTCGGTGGGTCCCAGGGTAGACCCTGATGATGGTGATGTTTCCGTGCTGGGTAGAGGGGCAGTAAGGGCGCAAGTGCCCCGCGGCTCTGCCGCCAGGGGGAGCCCTTGAGAAGCTGGCGGGAGCGCACCACGTGGCTGTAGAAACTGGCGCGACACCTCTGAGGTAGCTAAGACTTGGGCGCCTATGTAGTCAGGACCACACGCGGGCACAGTGGTGGGTATTGCCCGGGGCTCCACCAGGCACAGAATGTTGCCCTGGCTTGGGCCATGGGGCTCAGGCCGGGAGGAGGCCACAGAGGAGTCAGGCCTCTCCACGGGCAGTGACCACCGCGGGGAATGGAGCTCTGGAGAGGAAACCACGGAAGAGCCAGGAGCGCCCGTGCAGGACAGGTGAGGGCCTGGTGTGCGCCGCTAGGAGGCAGCGCGGGAGCTTTCCAAAACAGACAGTCCCCGAGGTCGGTGCTGGAACTGGGTGGCTGGCTCTGTGACTGACTCAGGTCAGCACGGGGAAGTGGAAGAGCATGTCCTTTCCCCTCACACAGCCCACAGCCCCAGGCCCTCCGCCCATCTGAGACCGGAAGAAAGCTGCCGCTGGCCTCCAATCATCTGGTTACGGTGCCGACCACGACCACGGAAGCCCCAGGTAGGGACCAGGCCTTGCTGGTTTTACCCATGAGGCCCCAGAGATTCAGAACCTGTTCTAATCTTGTCTCTATCCTTCGTAGTACCTCTTTCGTCCCAGGTGACCTCCCAGGTCACCCCCTCAAGGATGACCCCACTGCCACTTTTGGATCCCGGCCACGAGGCTAACACGAGACCTCAGCTGGTGGTGAGTTGGGGATGTGTGGCTCTGTCTCCAGGTAGCAGAGATGCCATAAAAGATGAGCTCAGTCACTTCCTGTTCTCCGCAGGGGGCCAGCTGTGGGTCAGGCGTATCCTTGTCCGGCAGGACACTGTGTCATCCTTCCTGGCCTATGTATGATGTCTGGGGCAGGATCCCTACCTCAGGGCATCCAGAAGAAGAGCAAGTGTCCAAGGATACAGGTACTTTCCTTGGCCCCTCAGCTCAGCTGGGATATTTCTGGGGCAGCAACTACAGTGAGGGCTAGGATGGGAGGCCGAGGCCACCAAGCTAGCAGGCTCTCCTCCTCAGGGCTCCCGGTGACAAACTATGAAGATGTCTTTCTCTTGGACCCTCTGCTCGCCTGTGGGCAGCGTATTCCCTTGTACCTGTCCAAGCCCCCTCAGCAGGTAAGAGGGAGCCTCCCTCCAGGCTTCCCTTTCCTCTCCATGCAAGGTGTGGGAGGACAAACTTCCCTTCCTGTTTTCTCAGGCAATGGGCGCTCGGAAGCTGCTGCTCCCACCTGCCATCATGTCCTCCTCTGTGCATCCCTCCTCATCCCAGGCCTGCTCTTCCACCTGGCTGAGCGAGGCAGAGATGATTGCCCTCGCTGGTCTGCTGCAGATGAGCCAGGGTGAGCTGAGCTCTAACTCCTTGGCAAGCCCTCTGACCTCCAGCAGCTGCCCAGACCCTGTCTCTGCCTCTGAAGACCCAGGCCCCAACGGTGGCCAGAACTGTTCTGGAAGCACTGACCCATGTCTCACACAGACCCCAGATACCCCCCATCCATAGTGCCCTCCCTCCATGAGTGCTGGCTTCTCCCCCAAGCTGTTTTGTTGATAATAAACCAGAGTTAGTTTGTGAACCAGACTCTACAACAGGTGCCACAGTGGGGCGTGGGGTGTGGAGGCAGGCCGGGCTCCTCCATGCCACCACACTTACTTGCCTGTCCTTCACGTCACCCACTACCTGGGGCAGGGAAATCCATCGAGCCAAGACAGTCAGGGTGCAGAGCACTTTTAATGGGTGGTTGGGTCCACAGGATGTGACGGGCTGTGCTGTAGGAAGCAAGGACTTGGTTGGCTTGGTCAGGCCCAGGAACGGTCAGGGGGGCTTGACTGGCACCGCAGGAGGCTGGCTCAGGAGCCAGGTTGCTGGGGAGCACAAACATGATCCCCGATGCTCCCATCACTTTTGAGCTGGGGCCCTAGGAGTAGCTCTCTGACTTGAAAAAGTTGGGTGAGGATAACTTTAGGCTGGGGGGACACAGTGACATTTAGCTGTCAACATCTAGGGGACAGGGCTGTCCAAATTGGGGTAGGGAATCCTCATCTCTGGTTTGGCCACAGCTAGCCTGAGGCAGATAAGATCTGGGTTTCATCTGGGAAGGCCCAAAACTTCTTAAGGCTTTAGGGTTGGTTTTTTGGGTTGGAGTGAGAGAGGTTCTAGAACTTTCTCTCTTAAAAGAGTCTAAATTCGCCGCCGGGCAGAAGTGGCTCACGCCTTTAATCCCAGTACTTGGGAAGCAGAGATGGCCAGATCTCTGTGAGTTCAAGCCAGCCTAGTCAACAGAACAAGTTCCAGGACAGGCTCCAAAGCTACAGAGAAACCCACCCTGTCTCAAAAAAAAAAAAAAAAAAAAAAAGTCTAATTTCTTGGGAGAACCTATTTCTGAGGGTTTGTAGGTAGTGTGTGGCTGGAAGTGGTGGCAGGCAAGGGGGCAGCATAGCACCTGACAGGGAACATGGTAGCCTTGGCCCCTTGCGGGAGCTGAGCTGTACACTTAGCAACTTTTTCTCTTCTTTTTGTATCTTCCCTGACCATCTCCCAGAAGGTTCTAGAACTTAATGCTGGCATAGCTATGTGGACTCTCCCCAGGGGCTGCTCCAAGCACTTCCAGGGGAGGAACTAGGTCCAAGTCCACGTAGTTGAGGCAGTTGTCCAGGGACCCGGGCTTAGCACTGCTCATGCCTACACAGTCTGGGATGTACATGTAGTCCCCAGATGCCTCTGAGAGCTGGGAAGAGCAGGTCGGAGCCTCTGTGGGTCTCCATCTGTCCCTAACGCTGCAGAGGGCACCTCGATGGCCCAGTTCAGGCTCCTTGGCCTTGAGCTCGTAGTAAAAAGGCCCTGGTGAGAGTCTATTCATGGGCATGTACTCTGTGCTCTCACAATCCTGGAGCGATTTGCTAGGAGCTATCCTGGCAGGGATGGGGGGAAGGCCTGGGGGTGCCATCAACATGTAGTCACCAACCTCTCCTCCTGCCATGTGCACGTAGTCATCCCTGACTCCCATGGTGATGTAGTCCCCGCCCAGATCTAGCCCCTTGTAGGGGGGTGCGGGCCCCATCCTTCCCAAGGTTTTGAGGTAGTCCTGCTTTGCTCTCTCACCCGGGCTTCTCGGTTGCGCTGCAGAAGCAGGGGTTTCGTATGGTGCCCGGGGAGGGGCTGCAGAAGCACTCTTCGGAGGATCTGCGGACGGCGGCTCATCCTTGCCACTGGTTGCACTTCTCCCCAGCCTCTTCATGGCAGCCAGGACGGTCTCATGGATGTTTTGGGCTACCACTGCATCAGGCGCCTGCATCCACAGCTCCCCGGGACCCGTGGGCGCTGAGCGCCCGAGTTCCAGGAAGAAGAACGAGTCTGCATGGCCGCAGCGGCGCACACTGAGCAAGGATAGGCGCAGGGCCGGTGGTGGTGATGCCCGGCTGTCTCTGGAGCCTTTGCTTCCTGGCTTCCGCAGGAGGCTTAGAGCCCCAGAACCCAGGCACAGGCGATAGGTGCCGCTGCTCAGGCCTGGTGCTCGCCCCAGTCCCTTGGACCGCAGTGTCACAGGCCAGACGTCCTGGAACGGGGCAAAGATCCAAGACTCAGGGGCCTCTTGGGGACTGAGACCTGGAGAGAATAGATAGGCAAGTCAGTGAGAGGCAGGGGTTGGGGGTCACCGTGTCCCAAGAAACCAAGACGTGTGAAAGAAAGCTCAAGATTCGAGCCTTTGGTGATCTGGGGGAGACGAGTGTTAGATAAGCTAAGTCGGCAAACCCCTGCCCTCCGTGTCCCCAGGGCTCACCCATAGCAGTGGCAGCAGCTGCAGCGGCAGAGGCGCGCACCTCCAGCAGGGCGCTGTACCATGCTTGCTGCTCCGCTTCGCTGGCAGCCGCTACACCCAGGCTGCTGTCGCTGGTATAGACGACGATCAGGTGGCGCTGGCGGGCATCCGCGCGCTTGCTGATAGTGCAGGCGCCTTCCAGACTCACGCTGCGCCGGGGTCGAGGTGGGCGGCAGCCGCTGGCGAGGAACTTCTTCTCGCTCTCGTAGCACTCCAGGCGCGGAGGGTCGGCGCGCAGAACGAAAAAGCGGCGGCGCTGGGACTTTTGCTTCCGCAGGTGGCCACAGAGCCGCACGTCGGGTGGGCAGGGCCAGGGAAATGGTGGGCCAAGGGACGCGTCCGTGGACTCGGCCCCGGGGGAGACTGTAGGACCCGTACCTGCCGGATTCATCTCCAACCAAAGGCAATCAAGTGCCCTCGGAAGGACTGATTTGGATAGGTCTGGTCCCCTGAGCCACCACCAGCTTGGGACGAGTAACAGAGACCTGGGAGATGGGCAACCGTTCTAGCTACCCTGCATCTCCCCACGCCCTCTCCCGACTTGAAGTGAGCAAGGAGCCTGTACTCAAGCGTCCCAGTGGCCAGTGACACCAGGACTCCTGGATCTAAGGAAGGCTGACCCAGCTGGGTCAGCCTCAGTTAGGTCAGCCTCCCTAACTGAGAATCCCCACCCCTTCACGTTAACCCTCCCACGGCCGAGTGCAGGAACTTGAGTTAGGGACTCATAGGCTAGAGTAGGAGTCCTGCACCGCTGGGACCGAACTTTCACAGGGGCGGGGAGTCGGGGGGTGTCTCCACCAATCAGCTGACTGGATATGGGGGTGGAGGAGTACCGCCAGGGGCAGCCTGGGGCAATCCCGAAAGCCAAAAAGCCAGGGTGCCGCCGCAGCTGTGGTTAGCAGTGATGGGACCGGTAATTAGAAGAACGGCTTAGCCGGCCATCCTGACAGCAGCCACCCGGCTCAGCCTCCACCCTTAGGTCCTCAGTGTCCCTCTCCTTCCCACCCAGAGATGATTTTTGTGCCTTTGCTCCTGAGTTATTCAGGGAACTTGGCTGCTGAACACTGGGCAGAAGTTCTGACAGCGGTTCCTCAATGAGTTTGGGGCGACGGATGTCCCAGGATAGGGAACCTAGTAGACTGGTCCCCGGTCACGAGCTGTACCCTCCAGATTCCCATGCATCCAGGTAGCCACTGAGAGACACGGCGAAAGAAGAGGTCGTTTCTCAGGGACACCTTCAAAGTGCCCCTCACCGCCCTGGAGTCAAACAGCTGACCCGAACCTGATGGTGGCTGTGTTCACAGAAGCCCAGATTCTGTGGTAGATGCCTCATGACCCTTTGCGTCCTGAGACGTTTGGGGGGGGGGGAGGAGTCAGAGGTCAGACTGAGTGCACAAGCTTGTGGAGGCCAGAGGACGACCTCAAGAGCCATCCCCTTGTTTCTGAGACAGGCTCTCTGGCTTGGAACTCGACTAGTACATTAGGCTAGCAGGCCAGGAGGCCCCAGGGATCTGTCAGACTCCACTTACCCTGCACCGGGATTACAAGGGCATACTACTACACCCAGCTTTTAAAATATTTATGTGTATAACCAGGTTGCCTGACTTTTGGAAGTTGGTTCTTGCCTTCCATCCCGTTGACGCAGGGTCCCTTTGTGCCTCTGTGCTGCTGTGTACCCCAGGCATGCTAGCCTGGGAGCTTTAAGGCTGGTTAGTGGTAGCCCTGGCTGTCCTGGAACTCTGTAGATTTAGGCTAGTCTCATACTCAGAGGTCACCTGCCTTTGCCTCCTGAGTTCTGGGATTAAAGGTGTGGACCACCACTGGCTGGCTAGTGGTTGTCTTCTATCTTGCTAACGGAGTACTGGGATTTCAAGGCATGCCATGATCCCCACTCTTTATGTGGACTCTGAGGCTCAAGCAGGCCATCAGGTTTGCACGGCAAGCATTTACCATCTGAGCTATGCCCCCCCCCCCCAGCCCCTTGGATATTTTGTTTTTCTGGGGTTGGGAGCGGCATGGCGCATTTTGTCAACGCTTAGTTGACAAGTGGTGGTGCCTAAGCAGACATGGCGACCCCCTAATGCTGTGGTAATCAAAATCTGAGGGAAGCTGAAGGTCTAGAGAAAAGGCTAAGCCGTGGGACCCTGTTGGGGTACTTGGGGGAGGGGCTCCCTCAGGTAAGGCACCCATGTAACAAGTAAACAGAAGCAGGGGAACGCGGGTCTTTTTCTCAGGCTAGTCCAAGGGTGGCCCAAACAGAGGTCTATGCCCATTTGTAACCTGGGATAGTGGGGAGCTCACTTGCCCTGATCACGAAGCTGGGCCTCGTTAGGCACCTTTCTAAACACCGTATTGACAGCGATTAGCCAATACCATCATCATACATATGGGTATCTAATACCTGAGGCCTGCCCCAGGGGCGTCCCGGCCTGCCAGAGCCCCACCCAGGCAGGGCTGAAAGAAATGCCCAAAGTTCAGTTGGCAGGTCCTGGAAGATGGCCCCGTGTGTGGGTAAAGCATTTGTGCAAGTTTGAGACTTGAGCTGGGTCCTCAGGATGCCCCGAAAGCTGGACGTGACCACACACAACTGTAACCCCAGAGCCCCCGAGTGGGACGCGCAGTGGGGACCGCAGCTCTCTAGCCAGTTAGCGAGCAGGACTCCATGGCAAAGGAAGGAGTCTCACTCCCTCAGGACTGAAGCTATCCAGGAAGGGTCTCTCCCTATCTTCTTCCTGATCCCTAGCCTGGTCATCTCG